GGCTAAATTCTCCTGTACAGCAGAGATGACAAGTGCTTAAAAGAATGAGGTCAATGAGAGTTCGAACAGTCAGAGATCACTTCATGGACAAGGAGAGATTGGGAGCCGGGTCCAGATAGATGTAGGAATAGGCAAGAGGAACAGAAACTGAAAAGTCAGAATGGACAGCATGAGTAACAGCAGAAAGATGCTGAAACCAGCCCAGTTATCTCAGAGGATAAAATCCAATGGCAAGGAAATAAAAACATATGTTCACACAATGACTTGTACACTAATCTTCATAGTAGAATTATTAACACCCAAAAAGTGAAAACAACACAAAGTGCCATCAACTGATGAATGGATAAATGGTTGAGCCACACAATGAAGTATTGTTCAGCAATAAAAAGAAATAAAATATTGACATGTGCTATAATGTGGGTGAACCTTTAAAACATTACATTAAGTGAAAGAAGCCCATCACAAAGGATTGCAACTTGTGTGCTTGCAAATATATGAAATATCCAGAATAGACAAATCAACAGAGAAAAAGTAGACTGGTGGTAGCCTGGTGCAGGGCGAGATGAGAAGCTGGTAGTGACAGCTAAGAGATGTGGAGTTTGTTTTTGGAGTGATAAAAATATTCTATAATTGATTGAGATGATAGATGCACAACTCTCTGAATATGTTTAAAAGTATTGATTTGTACCATTTACATGGGCAAATTATATGATATGTAAATTATATCAATACAGCTTTTATAAAAAAAAAAAATCCAATGGTTGATCTAGATTTAATTTTCTTAATTGTCTGACTATTTCCATGCTTTCATAATATTCTGAGAGGAAATGAAGGATATGCCTACTTCAACCAGTTTGTATAATGACCTTCCCGTACAAGTTATTTCAAAATCTGTAAAATAAATACAGATTCTCTATCTATTCACCAAAATGAAGGTAAGAACTAAAACAATTTTCTGGAACATTCCATTAAGCATTATCCTTTGATTTTATCTGGCTGCCTCATCATGATAATGGAGATATCACTAAAAATATTGTTTAGTAAAAATAAAAAAAAAAAACCAAAAAACCTCTTGACTTCTATGAAGAACACTGCATAATTCTCAACTTTCCTAAGG